GGTACTATCTTTGGAGCATGGGGGTAGATATCCTTGTACGTATTCTTGATAGTCCCTTCTGCAACTGTAGTTGCAATTGAGATATCTGCAAGGACACCATTCGAATTTCAATCATGTATGCGCACAAACAAACAACATGGTAAATGGACAAACCTCGCAGGGGTTTCTTTGAGTCTGACAATTGCGTAATCAAGAAAATGATTGCTGCAGCAATAGATATAGGGCTCCTCCTACAAGAGAGAGGATAATGATACTCCTGAGCATAGGGTGATATATGGAAAAATAGAAACTTTTAGGAACGTTAAATAAAGTTTCAAATGGAAGGTATGAAGGACAAAGACTGGTTTTCATCTATACTTCTGTTTCATTTAAAATCATGAGCTCCATTTGATTACAAATTCAGGGTATTTACAAGGGGAATTTATTGTCAGCTTGTTTTATTATGTACGATGGATAAGTCGATGCCATCATGGTCTGTATATCAGATCATTGTCAGTGTAATCGTAGCATCCCAGACATGATTCAGAGAGATCAATGTCGCCTTTCTTTTCCCTTTCCTAAAGTTCTACTTACCATTCAAGCAGTTCATCTTGTGCAACGTTCTACAGATATAAGAAGAAACAGCTTTCTTGCATGACAAACATTTTCAAGCATAACAAGAGCTTCTTACACGAGAAACAATGTCAAGCACAACAAGAACTTCTTGACTTAGTTTTGCATAGTTGTCTGACTCCCTATGTGGGTGTTTTCAAGGGAGGGATGTTAACATTGTCAAGTCCAGTACTAGTGCTTCTCAATATGTCAAGGTAAGGTCGGTGAAAACTTTGACAACCCTAATAAACTCAAAAAGTTTCTTAGAAAAGATAAGGAAATGGTTTGAACATGATAAGGCAAATAATATGACAATACCTTATGTCGAATTCTCTTGATTTCAATACTGTTTCTTCCACAGCTTTGACCTCTTCATGTCTCATACCAAGATTAGAACAAAAACGTCTCTGGAGAAAAACATATAATGAAGTATTGGGATTATAATAAATTGAATGTCAAAGTCTCACTACCCACAGAAAGATCTTGGAGAGACTTGGAATGGAAGCATAAAAGATCCAGTTAAACAGCCTGCTAAAAAAACTCACCAAATAGTCTTCTGCATGTATAGTACCCATCTCCATTGATTCACCCATCTCAACCTTCAATTGGTTCACAATAAATTCTTTTGCTCGGCCAATTTCTTTCTTTGAAGCTCCAGATGCAATAGAGCAAATTTCTAGTTCATACCCATAGGTTCAGTAGACTTCACACACAGAATAATAGTAAACCAAATGTGGAAGAGATTACAGGTGGCACCTTTCACGGTGCGAGGCTTGCCTTCTTGCCGACAAGCAATATAAATGCAGCCAGCCACCAGAGCCTCCAAATTTCTTCCTCTAGTACACTTCTGATCTTCCAACCTTTTATATATTTCACTTGCCCGATCCTTCATATAAATGGCACCATCATGCGAAAAGTTTGAATCCAAAGTCAGACCGAGTAAAAACATGACAATTTGCAAGATATGTCAACATATCAAGCATTAGAAAAATCCTTCCAATGATATAAATAATCCATTTTGAGCAACTTGGCAGATTCAACATATAGGGAGTTTGACTTTAAAAAATAACAGAAAATTATATTGGTGATCATTGACAACAAGGTTGCATCTCATGTCACAAGACAGCACAGAATCTCACGTCACCTGCAAGCAATCTATCTAAAACATCCAGGCCTCACCTTTCATGAAGCCATCAAGCGTCCACCTTCCCCACCAGCCACCCCACCAACCCGCAGCAAAGGGGAAAAAAAAAAAAAA